CTAAGCTAGTTGCTGGAATCTTAAGAGTAATTTCGGCGCGTAGTTGGGAAGAAAAATCTCGACGGAACTTTTGATGACTTTTCGTCAGTTGACATTTTTTTCTCGAAATTTGAATATTAGCGTTCTAGTATTTTTCCCCGTGATATTCGATCTTATTCCCGCTCTTGATCTCACGGGTGGGTATAACTATCGAAAGCACTCTGGCATAATCGGCCGTTTTGATTGATCTTGATTCGTCCTTCCGGTATTTTCTACTTAACTGGAGCTGTAGGACAGCTACAGAGCTGGTAAGCACGCCTATCGCATCCAGAATCATCAGGCGCGTTTGTATATTGATTCTAGAGGTCTGGACTTGGTTTGCTAGCTGAGCTAGGCCCGCAAACCTGTTCGTACTATTCGAGTCATCTTGACAGGAACTCTCGTTTTCTATACTTAACTCGAGCTGTAGGACTGCTACAGTGCTGATATGTACATAAACCGATTCAGAATTATCAGTTGCGTCTGCCTGCCGAATTCAGAGCTCTGAACTCGGTCTGCTCGCCGACCTAGAATCGCGAAAATATTCGTATTGGTCGAGTCATCTTGAGTGCTGTCGGTTCTCTGCACTCAACTCGCGCTGAGGGGCTACAGAGCTGGTGTCACAGGAATCGATTTGAAGAAATCAGGCGCGTCCGCCTGTCGAATCGCGAGCTCGGAACTCTTCTGCCCGAATTAGGTTTGCGAAACTAATGTATTGTTCGAGTCATTCTGAGATGAGCTCTCGGTTTTCTGCACTTAACTCGGGCTGTGGGGGGCTGTAGGGCTGGTAATGACAAGAGAGTCGCAGAGATCAGACGCGTCCGTCTGTCGCATTCAGAGGTCAAACATATTCACTACGAGTCGGAATGTTGGTGCTTTCGGTTTTCTTAACTTAAGTCGAGCTAGGCTCTACGAGTTCCCCGGCGGTAACCAGACGATTCACCGCCGGCGCCCAGTCTGGGTGGTTTTACGAAAATTTGAAGATATTCGACCATCTAGTTTTAAAAGCAGATTTTTGCGCGTCGTATTAGCATAACTCTCTGGCAGCAGCTTAGCTCTCTCGATGCATTCTTGCATGAGTTGACTTCCAGGAACTGAGCGGATATGAACATCGAAAAAATCGAATTTGAAGATTTTCGAAACATCTTTTTTTTCAATCTCGATTCTCTGCACTCTTACGAGTGAGAGGAGCTCTACGAGATTCCCGGCGGTGACTAGGTTGACGGTTCACCGCCGGCGCTAGGGGTGGAGCTGGTTTGTCGAGCCGACCAGAAAGGACAAAGTGTAACTTGTGGGTGGTTCTACGAATATTTCAAAGATAGTTGACCATTTATTTTGAGAAAGCAAATTTTTCGCACCTGTAGATGATTATGAGGGACTCTGCGTCTTAATATGAGCTCTCTAGATGCACTTTTACTATCAAAACTTGGCGAAACTAACTTCATGTCGACATGATAAAATGTAAGGTTTTCTCATGTTCGAGAAATGCTTCCAGAAGCCCTCTCTTTCGATGCTGAGCACTCTTACGCGTGCTAGGAGCTCTACGAGGTTCCTGGCAGTGAGCAGGTTGACGGTCCACCGCCGGCGCCAGTACCTCGTAGCTTCTCGTCATCGATGAGAGGTGCTGTCGATTTACGCACGTAACTCGGGCTGTAGGAGAGCTACAGAGCTCGTACAGAAGACCATTTTGAAGCATCGGGGGCGTTCGGCTGTTACATCGGAGAGGTCTGAAATTCCTTGGGCTGAACAACTATCTTTGCAGTGTAATTTTCTTCGACATTACATGTTGTCAGGAAGCTCTACGGGTCCCCCGGCGGTAACGAAGGTTGACCGTTTACCTCTGGCGCCTAGTTTGGGTGTTTTGCGATTTTTTGAAAGATATTTGGCCATTTATTTTGAGAAAGCAGATTTTTCTCACCTGTAGACGACTATGAGGGCCTCAGCGTCTTAATATGAGCTCTCTAGATGTATTTTTACTTTCGAAACACTTGACGAAACCAACTTCATCTCGACATAAAAAATGGCGAAACCAACTTTGTGTTGACTTGACAAAATCATGTCTTCTATTTTCCGAGAAATGCTTCCAGAAGTTCTCTCTTTTCATGCTGGGCACTCTTACGCGTCTTAGGAGCTCTACGAGGTTCCCGGCGGTGATCAGGTTGACGGTTCACCGCCGGCGCCAGTTTGAAATATATGTAACCGTTTATTTTGAGAAAGCAGATTTTTGCGCGTCGCATTGGCATATAATCTGCTCTCTGACAGCAGGTCAGCTCTGCTGATGTATTTTCTTGAGAGATGCAGTCCGGGAGCTGAGCGAATATGAACATCGGAAAAATCGAGCATCAAGATTTTCGAAGAATCTCTATTTCATGCTACGTCGATTCTCAGCACTCTCATCAGTAGAGAGCTCTACGAGGTTCCCGGCGGTGACTAGATTGACGGGTGCCGGCGCCAGTCATCTGAGAATCTGGTTCCTTGAGCATGCATGATTCAGAAAATCTCGTACAGCTCTTCGGTATCAATGAGCTGCTGCGCGAGGTGGAGCAGAAAAGACAATGTTGTAACTTTTGGTTGGTTTCTAAGATTTCAGATATTTCAGTATTTGGAGAACACATATTTTCCACACCTATGACTATAAGGGCCTCTACGTCTCGATCTGAGCTCCGAAGGCGCAAACTTGCTATCAAAACACTTGACGAAACTAACTTCATATCGACATGAAACACATATATTCGCCAGAAGCTCTGTCGATTCTAAGCACTCCCATGCGCAGAAGGATCTAGAAGGTTCCCGGCGGTGACCAGGTTGACGGTTCACCGCCGGCGCCAGTCTGGGGCTGGAGAGCTCGTGGGGAAGGAAAATATCCACGCACTTTCTGCTGAATTTTAGTCGGGTAATATCGCTCGGCATGCATGAGCTAAAGAAATGCGGGCAAGTAGTGGAGCTAAACTCGTAGAGCTCAGGAAGCCTGAGAGTTCTTCCGAATGGAGAGTTAGCTCGCAAAGGGAAATCTCGACGGACCTTTTGCTTGACTTTTGGTCGGTTCAAAATTTTGTTTTTCGATTTTCCTCAATTCCTTTGTTCATATTAGATCTTATCCCCGCTTGTCATCTTGATCTCAGCTAGATCGGGTACCTGTTACTCCCTAAAAGCGTTCAGGCAGGATCGGCCGTTTCGAGTGATCTCAATACGCGCCATCGGTGTATTGGACTTAACGTGCGCAGACCTATCCGTATTATTCGAGTCATTTGGAGAAACGTTCCCTTTCTGTTGTTAACTTGAGCCACATGACAGCTACATAGTTAAAGTGCAGACACCGATCCGTTTGTCTGTTGAATCTGAACTCTGCCTGAGCATCAAACTCTTTGTATTGTTCGAGTCATCTTGAGAGGTGCTGTCAGTTTTCTGTATTTAACTCGGCCTGTTGAGGGGTACAGTGCTGGTGGTCAGAGGAATCGATTCCGAGACATCAGGCGCGTTTGGACTGTCGAATCGAGAGCTCGGAACTCGGTCTGCTGCCAACAAGGGGCGAAACTGTTCGTATTGTTCGAATCATCCTTAGAGGTGTTGTCGGTTTTCTGCATGTGCTCTAGAGCTCGGACATCTGTATTTTCGTCGTTCGTCGTGTCGTTTGTTCCCCTCGCCCCCTCTGTCCACGCTTCCCAGGGTGGCCCTGCTGGGCCACGCAAGCTTTTACTTTCGTCGTTTGTCGTGTCTTTTGTCCCCCTCTTTCTCCCGTTGCCCTCGCCTCTCCTCCCTGTCCAAGCTTCCCAGTGGCCCCCCTGGGCCACGTTTTTTTTTTTTTTTTTTTTTTTTTTTTTTTTTTTTTTTTTTTTTTTTTTTTTTTTTTTTTTTTTTTTTTTTTTTTCCTTCTCTTATTCGTCGTGTCGTTCGTCCCCTCGCCCGCCCTGCCCATGCTTCCCAGGGTAGCCCCCTCCCCTGCGCCACGCAATGCTTTATTTTCGTCGTTCGTCGTGTCTTTGTCCCCCTCGCCCCCCCCTCCTGCCTGTCCACGCTTCCCAGGGTAGCCTTCCTGGACACTTTTATTTTCGTGTCGTGTCGTGTCGTGTCGTTCATCCCCCTGCACCCCTCCCCCTCTGCCCTTTCTGAGGCTAGGACACCTTTGTGCAAGAGCCAGAGCACGCGTGCCACTTGTTCGGGCTGTAGGGAGCTGCAGGGCTGGTAATCACAGGATTCGATTGGGAGACGTCAGACGCGTCCGCCTGTCGCATTCGGAGGTCTGAACTCGGTCTATTTGTCGCGTCATCTTGAGAGGTGCTGTTGATTTACGCACGTAACTCGGGCTGTAGGAGAGCTACAGAGCTCGTGCAGAAGACAATCCAGAAGCATCGGGGGCGTTCGGCTGTTGCATCGAGAGGTATGAAATCGCTTGGGCTGAAAAACTATTCGTTCTCTGCTATTTTTCGACATTATATATTGTCAGGAAGCTCTGCGAGTCCCCCGGCGATAAGAAAGGTTGACGGTTTACCGCCGGCGCCCAGTTGCTCGACCTGGCCCGGGCTGACAAAGTGGTATTTTTTCTTGATATTATATATGGTCAGGAAGCTCTACGAGTTCCCTGGCGGTAAGAAAGGTTGATGGTTTACCGCCGTCGCGCAGTGGTAGCTTTTGGTCGGTTTTGCAAAGATTTGAAAGATGTTAGACATTTTTTTTTGAGAAACCATATTTTTCGCACCTGTAGTGGGTTATGCCGCGTCTGCCAGTCAAATTTTCAGGTCAGTAGGTGCAGTGTTACTATCGAAACACGTGGAGCAACCGACTTTGGATAAAAACCGAAAAATAGTGATTTTTCGAGTTTTTCACTTCTGCTTGCAGAAGTTTCCTTCATGTGTTCCGAGGAGCGCTGTGCAAGATAAGAGCTCTACGAGGTGCCCGGCTCAAGGGTCCCGGCTCACGGCGCTTGACATTTGATCCCCTCTGCCTGGGTAACCTCCAGTGGGATCGAGTGCGCGTCAGGGAGGCACACGTTTGTCGCCTAGAGTGATATTGCACTGCCATTCATTTGACACGTTTGATCGCCTTGAGTGGTCTTCAATTGATTTGTTTCACACGTTTGTCGCCTAGAGTGATATTGCGCTGCCATTCATTTGACACGTTTGATCGCCTTGAGTTGTCTTCAATTGATTTGTTTTGCTGGGTGCTTCCGAGGCAGTCTCTGCAATCTTTCGTTATGCCACACGTACGGAGTGCAAGTGCTCGCATTATGCGTCGGGCGCTGGCTGTTCAAAACGGATACTGTGTGCATTTACCTATTCGTTTGCCTCTGGATGGTTTGGTGCCACCTACGTGTCTCCCACCACCAGGGCTGGAGCGGGCGACTGTCGATTTGGTTCTAGATTATCTCTTGTTGCGCGATCCACCTGTTGTTAAACGCAGTTTGGAGGAGGAGGAAGAGGCCGACATTAAGACTGTTTCGGAGAATTTTTCTTGCCGTATGCAGGCTTCTGAATCGCTGGTTTATGTAGATATTGGAGTGCAGGCTTCTGAATCGCTGGTTGATGTTGGAGTGCAGACGGTTGATGTTGCGGACTTTCATTGTGAAGTCGGCTGTCAGACAGATAGTGTCGTTGGGATGGAGGGAGGAGCTTCAGGAGTTCTTCTTGGGAAAGTGACTGTGGCGGCGGAGGAGGAGCTGGAGGCACCCTCGAGTGCGGAGTCTTCTCCGAACGTGCAGTCTGATTCTGATAGCCGCGCCTTGTCAGGAGCGTCCCAGGGGTGTCTGAATCGCCCCGTCACGCTCAATGAGGTATCGAAGGAGTCGCGCCAGAGGACTCGAGGGAGAGATCGTGACAAGGTCAAGGGGACATCGACGTGCTCTCAGGCCACCATTGCCGATGTCAAAGCGTGGATTGACGCTGTTGCCAGCATCAACGAGTTGAATGCGATCCAGTATTTAAAGAACGGAATGGATTTGTTTGATAAGCTGGTGACAGAACGTGGGTTCCCTACAAAGAAGGCCCAAAAAGATTATGCTCGGAAGCTGTATGAGATGCTCCAGAATGTGCAAGCGACGCTGGAGGATCTTCTAGGATTCTTCGAGGTGCACAGGTTCTTGACAGGACAAATGAACCGCGCCGAGATGGCCAAGTTTCTGGAGGTTTCCAAGTGCAGCGATTACCGAATAATATTCTTCGGACGCCCGAGGAGTTTCGACAAGTTGGGATGAAGCTATTCGTGCGCACTTGTATGCAACTGTCGGTTTAAGAACAGCGAAGGCTATAATGCTTGTATCTCACCTGTTCTTGTTTTCCTCACTTTATCTCTCTGTTTGACCTCTCGCTGGAGCCATGATGGCTTCACGGCCCGCTGTGGGCCCCACTAAGCGCTTCAGGTGTGTAAAGGGCAGGAGCCCCTCATATTCTTCAGGTGACGTTCTTCCACGGGTTGTTTCCCCGTCTAATTCGTTGATTACTTCATGTGACGTTGAGCATGCGCCTCTTGTCATACGGCGGGTTGAACATGCGTATTTCGGACTGGTTTGATGTGAATAAGAGTTTGTGCTCACTCACGCCTTGCCTGTTTGGATACGTCCGCTCCTTGCTCCGACTAGGCTGGAAAGCCTGCACAGTCGACCGCAAAGTCCGCAAAAAACCTGGTTGACGGTTTACCACCGGTTCCCAGTTCTGTTCTCGAAATTGAACAATTCGTTGGAGCTCTAGGTTTTTTCCTGCAGGGAAGATAACACCAGGGCCGACGAGCTCACCCACCTGGCCCGAGAGGGCCGCACTTACTACTCCAATCAGGTTGCTTGCAGTCCGATTGAGTCACAATATCTTATACACGTCGCCTATCGTGGGGCATACGATGGGGGAGTGGACGGCAACGGTTGCGGATGTGGTTTTTGGCTGCAGAAAGGCTTCTTGGATTGCAGTCAGTGGGGTCCGGCCTACCACGCCACTCCTTCTCCATTCGGTTCTCGTCAGATAGCCCGCTGGAGGACCCCATGAAGTGACCCACGTGATGCCCGTGTTTGGAGGGACATCGCCTCCAGTGCCTTTCTTTTACCACCGCACTCCACGATCGCAGATTGTGAACTGGCTGCCGCCGAGGCTCGCACGCGCCCTCCGCTTAGACCTGCTAGGCTCGCCAGGCGCCCAGTCGGGCGGCGCTGGGGACAGCGCCCTGGAGCCCGCGCAAACCCCCAAAAAACCAAGGTTGACGGTTTACCGCCGGCTCCCAGTTTGCAGATTTCCCAGCGCCTCAGAGTTCGCTTCAACGCGTGCGATAAAGCCCATTGCGTAGCAGAAACTCGGCTTTGGGCTGAGAGTCGCGGTCTTGGCAGTGAGAGCCAGGGGTTCGGCCCGGGGGGGCAGATCCTGGATTGCGGCCTGGCGCTTCGAGCCAGAGTGGCGGCCCGGAGAAGCAGACTCTCGGTTGCTCCTCAGACTAAGAGCGGGGGTCGGAGAGGGAGGAGAGAGGCAGGAGCGAGAGGGAGCAGACAGAGAGACGGCAGGAAGAGAGAGAAGCAGAAGCGGAATAAGAAGAATAAGACAGAGGAGGGGGCGGAAGCCGTAGCAGCAGCGGCAGCGGAAGGCGACCAATCGAAGCAGGCAGCAGAGATCGCAGAAGCGAGGGGGAGCGAAAGAGAGAGCGGAGAGATAGAGATATAGAGAGAGAGGGAGAGGAAGAGAGAGAGAAAGAGAGAGAGAGAGAAATAGAGAGAGAGAGAGAGAGAGAGAGAGAGAGAGAGAGAGAAAGAGAGAGAAATAGAGAGAAAGAGAGAGAAAGAGAGAGAAAGAGAGAGAGAGAGAGAAAAAACAAAAAAAAACATATTTTCAGCAGAAGAAGGCGACAGAGAGCGGGGGGGGTGCGCGCGACGACGAGAACGACGACCGTGCGCGCCCTCATCCTGCCTGCCCGCGTGCCAACTGAAACACTGCCCCCTGCGGCGCCAGGAGGCGCGCGCGGCGGGGGCGGAGGGGGGTGGGGCGGGGCGGCCTACGCGGTGCGGCAGCGACGTGGCTTGCCGTGCGCGAGCAGGAGCCTTCTGCTCTCGCCTGCTTGCGTTCGAAGACACGCCCGACGGTTTTAGAGCCGCCGTGTATTCTACTGCTCGGCTATCAGGGTTTGGCACGCCTACGTTCATTTCCTTGTGTGCAGCCACGCCCGACGGTGTCAGGGCCGCCGTGTGTTCTACTCAGCTATCAGGGTTTGGGACGTCCAGAAGTACCTTGTAGAGCTCTTTGGCGAGCTCTTCGACGAGATAAGCAAAGAGGAATTCGGGCGCGGGGCACCAGAACGGACAATGAAACGACTTCGGGCCCGTTTTTGGAAGATCCTCAGAGATCTGAGAATTCGTTTAGAGAATGACTCGAAGAGCTTCCCCAAGAGCGTTAGCGACGAAGCTAGAAGAGTCGGCGCGCTGGGTGGCTAGTTGGCACACAAATCTCGACGTTTTATTTGATTTTTTTGGGGGACTTGTTTAAACTCGATGTCTCGAAATTCAACAATTGGTCTCAGCTTTAGTATTTGTATCCTCGTATTGGATCTCATTTCCCGCTCGCCATCTTAATTTCAGCTCGATCGGGTACTTATTACTGCTAGAAAGCATACAGGCGGGATCGGCAGTTTCGTGCCATCTTGGCAGATGCTGTTGGTTTTCTGTACTCACCTCGAGCTGTAGGGGAGCTACAGAGCTGGTAGGCACAACTAATCGATCTAGAATCGTCAGGCGCGTAGTCTCAAGCATCTAGATGTCCGAACTCGGTCTGCTACTAGAGTTAGGTCCGCCAAACTATTCGTATTCTATTTTTCTGAGATCATCATGTGTTCCTTGACTTAACTCGAGCTGCAGATGAGTTACAGAGCTGTTCGGCACAACAATCGGTAGGAAATCATCAGGCGAGCTAGTTTGACGTATCTACACGCCGGAACTCGGTGTTCTTTCTTGGCTGGGCCCGAAAAACTATTCATACTCTGCTAATTTTATAGAGATGAGGATCGTTTTCTCGACTTAACTCGAGCTGCAGATGAGCTACAGAGTTGTTTTGCAATATGAAGGACATCATCTTGCACGCGAGCTTAAAGTATCTAGACGCCTGCACTAGGTCTGCTATCAGAGTTGGGTCCGAAAAACTATTCGTAGTCTGTTTGTTCTTAGAGATGGTGATGGTTTTCTGGGCTAAACTGGAGCTGCATACGAACTACAGAACTCTTCGGCGCAGCAATCAGAAGGAAATCATCAGGCGCGCTAGTCCAAAGTATCTAGACGCCTGAACTCGGTCTGCTACCAGAGCTGGCTTCGAACAACTAATCGTACTCTGCTAATTTTCTGGAGATGGTGATGGTTTTCTTGACTTAACTCGAGCTGGAGATGAGCTACATAGCTTTATGTCACATAAGTCGAGAGGAAGTCCTAAGAAGCGCTACTCTAAAGTATCTAGACGCCTGAATTTGGTCTGCTACCAGAGCTGGGTAAGAAACAACTATTTGTACTCCGCTAAAATTTAGACAGATGACGGTAACTTTGTTCACGTAACTCGAGCTGCAGAAGAGCTACAGAGCTGTCTGGCACAGAATCGGAAGGAAATCATCAGACGCGCTAGTTGCAAGTATGCAGATGCCCGGACTCGCCACGCTTTCAGAGTTGGAACCAGAGAACTATTCGTACTTTTTTTTTTTTTTTTTTGTTTTTTTTTTTTTTCCCCCCCAGAGATGCTTTCTCCTCACTTCTTCTTCTCCTCCACGCCCTCTTCCATGAGACCGCGTTCTCGCGCGCGCAATGCGAGATAGCTGCGCCCGCATTGCAAGAGGAAGCTCTACGAGTTCCCGGCTCAAGAATTTCCGCCTCAAGCTCCGCGAACGTTCATTTCCTCCTGCCTGGGGAACCTCCGCGAAGGTGAACGTTGAGCTAGCGTGGCGTTTTGCTCCGCTTACGCAACTGCCCATCTCCAGTGTCTGATCACATTCCAAGTGTGCTGGGTACTACTGTCTCAAGTCGGTGCAGTGCTCTCATTATCTTTGTTGTCCTTGTTCACATCACATCTTTATTCATGCCTCATGTTCGTAGCAGAATTGCATATCACAGGCGTCGTTCGAGAGCGTCACTTCTCGGATTCCGTCCGGCACCCGTCCCGGTTGCACCGCCGCCGGGCCTCGAGGCAGCCGTTGAGCCCACGATAGGCTCCTCATTGCGCTCGTTCGTCCCTGCAAGTTGCTCCTGTCGATCCGACAGGGACTCTTTTGGATTACCTCACTTCGCATGCGGATAAGCAAACAGATACCGTGATTTCAAATCCCGCTGGGACTCAGACAGAGCTAGGTGCGCAGATTTCGGAGCAAGAAACACAAACTGATGTCGTGTCTCTGGGTAGCCATATTCACTCTCTTACGAACGAGCCACATTCTTCTCAAACTGTGAATATTGTGTTGTGTAGCACTCGCATGGATGGTTCTACGCAGACCGACTGTGGGTCGAACAACGTTTTTGGATCGCAGACTGATTTTTCTTTTGAGGATATTCGGCCCCACGTTGGGATTGCTACACAGACGGAGCCCCGGCAACAGGATGGCAGTTTTCCGAGGATGGACGTCCCCAAGCCAGTGCGACAGTCGAATGAGAAAGCTTTTTCGGAAGTAATGCGTCAATCGCTCAAGTTCCCGAGGCCGTGCACTGGTCGTGCCCGCGCTACTGCGCGGCTCCTGTGCGATCGAGATGAGGCAGGTGCATTGGCGGCCGAATTCATGGGCCTGGAACGGGAAGAGTCGGATGCAGAGTTCGAGTCCGACACGCTGGGTCATGTGCAGTGGGAGTTATCCCGTCTTGGTGTTCTGAATCCAGACCAGCTGCGGTTTGTTTCCAGTGGTATGATTCTGTATGCGCTGCAAGAACGGGATGGGCCTGGGCCGAAGTTTTTGGATTTGATGTTTCACAATCTCGTGCGTACTTCAGGATTTCTCGTGAGTGGCCGTAGTGCGAGATTGAACAGAATCAGAGCCCTTTGGAATGATGTGTTTGTTGCTATGAAGCGGGACTTTCTGCGGGGGGAGAGGAGGATGAAGGAGTGGATTTCGGCTATGGTTTTGGAAGGTGTGGGAAGGTGCTGCAAGATCTTTTTTTGGCCAGGTTCCGAGTGCACCAAGGCCGCCAGATGGTGGCGATCTTTCAAGCGCTTACATGGCCGCTTTGGAGGAGTATCGACAAGCACATCTGCATAATGAGCAGTGTGAAGCTACGCTTGACATGATCTTTCGTTTCGATGAGACCCAGAGGGGCCTGCTGGGGACATGGATGAAAGACGAGCGCAATCTGAATGATCTCGAACTTCTCCAGTGCCTTTTCAATCTCTTGCAGGTGAGTTATCATAGGAAACAGAATGGGCATTTGACTCGGGAGGAACATGTGGCGATGAAGTCGCTCTTGACTTCTTCGGCGTAATCTCTTCGTCGGTAAGTTCTTCCTTCGGCGTAATTTCTTTCTATGGGGTACGCACCATCCTCTTGCATTTTCTTGTGTGCGCTTGTTGTTTCTCTGATGGAGTTCGCGTCGTTGATGTGCCTCTACGCTTCCAACATACTTCGGACTCTGTGTTTGCGTTGACTCTTGCCATACTGTGTGTGTGT